TGGTTCCGTGTCCAGTTCTCACTGTTGCTTCTTGACCCGCATATAGGTTTCTCAAGAGACAAATAAGATGGTCAGGTACTCCCATCTTTTTAAGAACTTGCCACAGTTTGTTGTGATCCACACAACCAAAGGCTTTAGCATAGTCAATGAAGTAGAAGTAGATGTTTTTCTGGAACTCCCTAGCTTTCTCCATGATCCAGCGTATGTTGGCAATTTGATCTCTAGTTCCTCTCCCTCTTTGAACTCCTGCCTGTACTTCTGGTAGTTCTCAGTCCATCAGTTTATTCAAGAGATCAGAGTGGAACATGGTCCATTAAGAAAAGTAGCAGGGTAGATGGGCAGGAGAGACCAGCCTTTCCAGCTTTATATCACTCAAACTAAACATCTGGTTTTAGATGTCATGATGGAAACAGGATGGGATTTTCATTAATCTACTGAAGAGGAACAACTGGATTAGCATGCCTAGATACTCACAAGCCTCCATACTGTCAAGAAACAAAGCAATCTGGACAGCAACCCATTAAATTAGCAAAACTGGATATTGGTTGAGCTGGATATTGGTTGAGCTGTTCCTAGGGTATGGCATTGGGCTGTTCTCAGGGTATTTGATTCCCCGCAAAAGCTGTCAAAATTTTTAGGTTCTGAATGAGATGATCTTGTTTCCAGAATGGCAGTGCTACATTCACAAACCACTGTGTTTTAAAAATAAAAATTTGTTCCGAATTTGTTCAGTCCAATACACACAAATATGTCAATGCACTTTTTGGCAGATTTCCTACTTGTAAGGTGTGAGTCTCCTGATGCGTTATTCAAAGTTAAAAGTAGCCGCAGCAGCCCCAAGTTGGATCAGGACAATAGCACGGGGGGAAGGAGTGTTAATCCTTTGTCTCTGCACCATTTTTTAAATGGGAAGGCACTCCCAACTACCCAGATACCCACTAGAGGAAATAAACTAGCAACCAGTGAGGTTAAAGAGAAGGGCAGAAATCTGACATTTTGATTGGCACTTTGCAGTGGCATAATGGAGCCTGGACTCCACTATTTAGCAAGATACATTTCTTTATTATTTATCACCTGCCACACAGACAATCCCTCGAATTCCTGGTGTCCTCTGAGCTTAGTTACTGTCCTCATAATAGCTACAAAGAAATGAATTTTCCTCGCAACCTGGTTTCAATGTGTTTTGGATCAGGTTGCTTCTGGTCTGGTGATTAAGCACCATTAGCTTTATGGAAGGTCAGTCTTTCACAGATGGGAACTCCTACAACCAGTTTGTTGACATGGATCAGTAAGCCGCTTGTATGTTTGCCTGACCATGGTGGCTGCCATGACGAGTGCCTAAACTTGGAAATTAGTCTCTGGGCCATTGTGAATTTTGTATCCTGGTTTTTCTATCAAATGGTGCTCCCTTTGAGGAAGTCCTGACTTTCTCTTCCCCCAGTACCCTGTCCCAATCCAATTGCTCACCTCCATGCCTGCTATTCAGGGTGTAATGTTTCGACAGGAATGAAGTCTTATAGTTCCTAGCCTTCTCTGGCCAGCCATGTTGGCTGAGGAATGCTGGGAATGGTAGGACCTTCTGTCTAAACAGGATTAGGAGAGGATTGCATCCTTAACAACAGCAGCAACAACAAAAGCAATGCCCTCTGGCAACCCAATCATAGTTCTCTTTCATCACATCTGTATCATTCAACTTCAGGAATTCCCTCAATCAAATGGCTTATTTGGCCCATTTTATTATTTTTTTAAGATTTGTGGTGAAAAAAAAAATCTCTATTGCCAAGTATTGACTTGGATTTGATTTCAGTCCTGCTGTTTGCTTGCATTTTATTTGGCTCTGCTTGAATGGTCTGCATTTGTATTGTTTCTTTTTCTGTAATTATATTTGTATTTTTGGATCACTTTCCAGCTCAAAACTAGAGTAGGAATAAATAAAACTCTTTTTGGCTCTAAAAGCCAGCTTTTTTCTTCACTAATAATAAAAAATAGCACCTTCATGTCTCGTCAGTGCATAGATAATCTATTAAGCTAACTCAGGGGTTAGCTCATGCTTCCAAAATAGAACTCCAAATTATTTTTGTATTAATTTGTTCTTCCATGAAGCTCAACGATGCCAGTGTCACTTTATATAAATAGCAATATTCTTCATATACCCCTTTCACATGTATTATGCTAACTATGGGTGCCCAGTGGTCAAATGGAGTCACCTCTGTTCTGGAGACTTGGAGGACCTTCCAGACCAGCTTTGGGTTCATATAGTAGTCTGCAGAGAGGGGCAATGACAACACTTTAAGAATCCTACTGGTACCACCTCTGCCACCACGAAGAAATCACAGTGCTGGTCCACATCCTGTATTCAAACTATACCAGTCTTGTAAAATCTGTGTGTGAGACTATAGAGTCAATGCAACGTTGGGCCACAAGGTTGTGGCTGGTTTGCAGGGGATGCCATATGAGGCAAGATTGAGGGAAGCGGGTCTCTTCAGCCTGGAGAAGAGGAGAGTCAGAGGGGGGTAACATACAGGTATGTGAGGGGATGTCACATGGAGGTGGGTAGAGACCTGTTCTGCCCTGCAGAGGAAGGCAGGATGCGCTTCAACGGAGCAAAGCCCAGGGAGCCAAGGTTCCATCTGGATGCCAGGAAGCACTTCCTGACAGTTAGGACCCCAAGGGTGTGGAATGGGCCTCCACGAGAGGTCGTTGAGGCCCCTGGTTTGAGCTGTTCAAAGATGGGCATGTCGTGAGCAGTGGGCATGTCATGAGCGGAGCCGGCTGGTGCCAGAGGTCATACTAGATGGCTCCTTCTGACTCGCTCTGTTTCTATGTTTCTATGCTGAAGGAGTGACCCTGCCCAGGGCCCACTCTGACTTTGCTTCTGACTGCCATGCACCACTGGCATCACAGGTTTCTCCTTAGGTAATATGGATCTTGGAAGAAAAGTTTCTTCCACTCCAGTCTCAGTACAATTTAGGCCAATTTAGCTAATAATAGTTTTAATTCTAAAAATTATCAAGCTGTAGTGAATTTACTATTTGTTTCACATCTTCCACTCCTTCCTCAAATGCTAGGAAGTTCAGGGCAGCCTTTGCAAGGTCAGATTCTTCCTGGAAGAGAACAGTGGGTCAGTCTACAGCAACAACCATTCATTTCCTGGCTGAGCTGGTGTTCCAGGGGCGCAAAAGCAAGCACAGGGACGTTAGGGCCATACCTAAAGCAAAGCCCAGCTCGTGGCAGCAAGCTGCTGCTTCCCAAATTCTTTCACTTATGGAAGTAAGTTCCAAACGATTGTGCTCAGGATGGAGTTGCTTGTCAGACAGGCTGGAATAGCTACCTACCACACATTGTCAGTCTCATCCCCGAGACATTTAGACTGAGAATCTCATCAAGGGAGAAAAGGGGAAAACAAAATGCAGCAAATACCAGACTACACGCATTTGCTGTATGTTGTATGTGCAGAACCAAAGAATGCAAACAATTCTGCCTCTGATGAGTCATTTCCAAGGCATGCGCAGACATTTATGGCGATGTGGTTAGTTACCACAGGTTAATTGCATTCTTCAGGTTTAGCTCAGGATTGTGTCCTGACAGACAACAGTGTAAACAGCACCATGCCAAATAAATAATCATACACTGATGAAAAGTGAAGAATGTTTGAGATTCGTTCATAACTTGAGCATGGTGCTACAAGTCGGATTGCAGAATTTCCATCCCCTTCTTTAGAAACGTGAACAACTTAGTGAACAGCTATGAAGGTGCGAGGCACTGCACATTATGGTAGCTAAGACAATATGGCCATCTTAAGCCTCAGCTGAGACTGCAACATCCCCGATGGAGTTCATTAGCTGACATCTATTGATTGCAGAGGTTAGCGAAAATGATGCCCTTGTGGCGTAATCAATAGAAGCCTGGTGCATGGTGAAAAGAAGGATCGATTGATCAGCGTTGACCCTGAATGTGTGTTTTGGTGGTCTGTTGCTCCTGCTTTGAACTTCTGCTCCTTCGCGGAAGAGCCGAAGGAGAATCTGCTGTCACTCACATAACGGAATTGCACTCACAGCATCTGCAGGGCCGGAATGATAGCAGGCATCGTGCGGCGGGACAGCTGCTGCTCCTGTGTGACCCACGGTCTTGGCTATTTGCCAGCGCCCTGTCGTTGCTGTTCATCAACTGCTCTGTGTCCCGGCATGGCTACTTTGGTGAGGATGTGTGGCTAGCCAAAACAGGCAGTCTGAGCTACAGAAGGTTTGGGTGCCTACATGCAACTTGAGCACATTATTCCATGTCCAGCACTCTGGAAAGATCCATAAGAAATCTCAGCCCTCCTCTCTGTGACATTCTTTCAAGTACTCAAAGAGTGCTAACATAATTTCCCTCAGTCGTCTCTTCTCAAGGCTAAACGGGTTTATTTCCAGGCTCTGATAAGTTTTCTTTCCTTCCTCTGAAACTTTTCCAGTTTATCTGCATCTGTCTTAATCTGTGGTGGCCAGAACTGGGCTCAGTACTCCAGATGAAGGCTAACCAGTGCTGAGCAGAGGGGAACTAGTACTTCATGTGATTTGGAAATGATGCTTCAATTTTGCTGTTGTTAGTCGCGAAGTCATGTCCGACCCATCGCGACCCCATGGACAACATTCCTCCAGGCCTTCCTGTCCTCCATCATCCCCCAGAGTCCACTCAAGCTCACGCCAACTGCTTCAGTGACTCCATCCAGCCACCTCTTTCTCTGCTGCCCCCTTCTTCTTTTGCCATCTATTGTATCTCTTCTCCAGGGAGTCCTTCCTTCTCCTTAGGTGGCCAAAGTTTTTGAGTTTCACCTTCAGGATCTGGCCTTCTAAAGAGCAGTCAGGGTTGATCTCCTCTAGGACTGACTGGTTGGATCGCCTTGCAGTCCAGGGGACTCGCAGGAGTCTCCTCCAGCACCACAATTCAAAGATGCTTCAATTAATGTGGCCCAAAGTAACATTTGCTGTTTTTTTTTTTTTTCTTCTTTTCAGTCATGGGGAAGGGCAATCCTGGAGTGCCATCCATCTTACTTAGCAGCCTCTCTGGCTTCTGATGCACCAGACATTTCTCACAAATTGTCAACACATTTTCATAATCCTAAGAACTGGGAATCTCCTGGGTTTCCCTCACCCACTTACACCCAGCAATGGAAACTGAAATCTCTGTTGAAAGATAAATTCTGCAAATCCCACAGCTCAGTTCTCCTCAGTTGTGAGGGCACATTTTCAAAGAGCAGCTTTTCCTTTGCATTACTTAGCATGTTCAATGACTGAGGAGTGGGAGTTTTTACTGGGCAGCATTCAAAACACACCCTCTAGGCTTTACTTGTTCAGTCCCCATGAATGACATTCTGTACTTTCTCCAATGAAATATTCCATCTCTGCAAGGGAAAGAGAAATATTAATCTCCAGGTTGACAAAAGGTTAGCTAATAAATAAAAAAAATAAAAAATAATTTGTTTCCGCACTTGTTATCCTCAGCTTTAACTGAGCAATAATCATACCCTTTTATTATTATTATTATTATTATTATTATTATTATTA